GTGTGTGTGTGTGTGTGTGTGTGTGTGTGTGTGTGTGTGTGTGTGTGAGTGAATACATTCTCTCATTTCTTTTGGACAAAGACCAACAAACAGAATGGCTAGATTATACAGTAGTTTTATATTTAGGTTTTTAAGAAACAATAAAACTATTTCTTAGTGTAGCTGTACCATTTTGCATTCCCACCAACGGGACTGAGAGTTCCAGTTCCTCCACATTCCCTCCAATGCTTGATACAGTCAGTGTTTATAGTTTTAGCCACCCTAATAGGTATGTGGTCATATCTGATTTTTAACTTACATTTTTCAATGAGTAATAATGTTGAGCACCCTTTCATGTGTATATTTGCTCTCTGTATGTTTTCTCTGTAAATTTTGTGTTCATTCTTTTGTCCACTTAAAAAATTGGGCTGTTTGTTTGCTTATTATTTGGTTTTGACAGTTCTTTATGTATTCTAGATAGAAGTCTTTATCAGGTATGTTCTGTAAAAATTTCCTTCCAGTTAATGACTTGTCTTTCCATTCTCTTAGGAGTGTCTTTTTTTTTTTTTAAATTTTTAAAAAAAGTTTATATTTTTAAAATTATTTATTTTTTTAGGAGTGTCTTTTAATAGAAGTTTTAAATTTGATGTCTAATTTATCATTTTATTCTTTTATTGATTATGCTTTCGGTGTTGCATCAAAGAAATTTTTGATTAACCCAAGGTCTCAGGGATTTTTTTTCTCACTTATTTTCTAAAAGTTTTATAATTTTTAGGCTTTGCATTGAGATATATGATCCATTTTGAATTGCTTTTTGGCCTTTTGACTAAGATCAAGTATAATTCATTTTGAGTTAATTTTTTAATATCATATGAAGTATAGTTACAAGAGCATTTTTTTGCATAGGGATATCCAATTGTTCTTGCACTATTTCTTGAAAAATTTATCTTTTGCCATACATATTTCATTTTTTTCTCCCCACCCGAGGCTTGTCTTTTTTTCTAACATTGTCTTTTGTAGTACAATAGTTTTCAATTTGACATAGTCATATTTATAAATTTTATCATTCATAATTAGTAATTTGGGGGCTGTATTTAAAAAAACCTTTGCAGCTTAAAAATCTCTTGGCTAGAATTGGATCTCCAACCTTTAGTTATCTATTACATGATAATCAAACATGCAAATATGGATGAAATATTTTTAGCATATGGAATATACTAATATTGTGAAGATAATGCATTATTTCAGAAACTATAGAGGCGCCAGGGGAGTTGCAAGTGGCAAATTAGGAACAGAAGAAATTACAAAACTTTATTGGGAAAGAAATTGCCAAATGTACCTCTAACTATTTTCGAGAACAGAAGGCTGATATTGGTGGAGAGGAGATGAGGCTTAGCAGCAGGTGAAAATTCATGATGATGACAGCTGATGTTAATATGCTGGGGAGTAGGTGGTGTGTATACTTGGATTTAAAGTGAAAGATCAACCATAGAGTATAACTGTCCATCATCTCATTCCGTGAACAATTACTAGAAATTATTTGGGCACAGAAAATAAGTCACTCATGTTCCTTGTCTGACACTCAGAAAAAAACTATCTTGTGATTTGTGTGACAATTTGCCTTTCTTCCTCTTACATGCAAGGGACTGTCCTTGGTCAGTATCTTTTCCTGTTCCAAATCTCCACCGCTCTCCTTGGTCTGGGTGGTCAACTAGCACAGCTCCTTGGTTCCAACAACTGCCTTACATTTTACCTCATTTAGGTCACTGGATGTGTCTAGTTCCCTGTACCTAAATATGTATGTCTATACACAGCTATCTCCTCCACCTTTTGCTCCAGTTTCAGACAAAAAAGGAATGATACATACCCCTTCTCCTTAAATCCAAGATGATCTTCCTTTTTAGTCATTCTGTTTCTCATAACCTTATTGCTGCCTTTCTGTTGCCTTTATTATTTCTTGTGGTAAATAAATATGTTCATGCTCTCTTGTCCTTAAAAACGTCCTGTATGGGACCCTGAAACGTCCTCCCCCCCTTTTTGATCTTCCTCTTTTATCCACATTTTTTTTTTCAAATAGTAATAATGCTATTCCCACTTCTACTATTCCAGCTTTCTCCTCAATCCTCTGGATCCTAGCAGAGGATGCCTTCATCATTCTATTGAGATTCCTTTCCCTCAATCCAATAGCTCTTTAACTGCCATATCTAATGGACATTTTTCAAGTCTATTTTACTTATCAGTTGAATTTACTTATTTTTTTAAACTCTACATCCTTGGATGCCATGAAATTTTACTTTCTTGGTTCTTCTGCTTCTCAGACTATTTCTTTATTGTCTATATGCTCAATGAATTTGCTTTTTTGGGGTAAAATATTAAGTGACTAATCTAAATGAATGATAAGTATTGTATGCACACTGGAGCTATGTCTTATTTCTTGTCAAGCTTTTAAGTTGGGTCCCCAAATGAAAATCTTACTGTTAACTTCTGTTTTTTATTTGAGTATTTCAAATGTTTTAATTTTATTCAATTAACTTTTTACTTACATAAGGTTAGTAGAGAAAGTATCCTTTTGGATCTGTTTACCTGTTCTTTTTTTGCACAAATTTGAACATTCATTAAATCTGTACATGAAAACAGCTGAATCCAGAGTATTTAATTCACAGGACAGGAATATAGAGTGCTGTTCTTTAAAAATTAGGCAAACCTTAGAAATCTATAAATGAGAATTGAAATTTGGAGCCTAGAGGTAGAAAATGTAATTAAAGAGAATACAGAAGCTCTAAGATTTTTTTCTTTTTCTGGGTAGAAGTAAAAAAAAAAAAAAAAAAAAGGCCAAATCTTATTTGCCTTTTCCTCTACCAGATAAAAATGCAATACAAAGACTTAGAAATACAAAGCTGCTTTTGACTTTTAAGTGTATTATTGGTATACTATATAGTAATCCTTGTTGAAGTCAGAAATATAGTGTGCAGGAATGGAGTTTAGGATAAATTATTTATACATATGGTTTTATTGTCATGTTTAGAACAGCGAGAAAACATTAAATGTGAACATATTTTTCTGTCCATCAATATTACCTTCTTACTGTATGTAATTAGTCTCTTAAAAGTCTTGTCTGATTTAAACCACTTTGGGATATTTTTAAAAGTGTCAATGGTTATTTCATTTGGTCAAAAATTTCAAATATATACTTTTGCTTGAGAAAACTATTTAAATGGCATGAAAACAGATCCATGAAGGCTTATGTAGGATAAGACAATATCATTTATATTTTATCACAAGAGATTTTATCACAAGAGATTTTGTTTTCTTTTGCTTGCTCACATGAAATTTAGCTGGTTTTTCCCCCATAAATAGAGCTAGCCTTCAAAAAGAGAGTGGCAGTGTGCCTGACTAATGACAGTTTAAAGCCTCTGATGCACAGGGATCAAATTAAATAAGGCTTCTGTGTTGTCAAGAATTAGAATCTACTGATGCACCGACATTTATTCATCCGCTTTTTATTTAGCTTTGAAGGCTCGCAGGTCAGTTGCATCTGATTACTCTGGACTCCTTCCAGAAGTAGCTGAGGCCAAAGGAACAGGCACAGTTACAAGTCCACCAGGTGGCAGTCTTTGACGGAAGAACTTTTATGTGCAACCACTGGTTGCTATCCTCTCCCCCTCTCCATCTCTTTCTCTTTCTATATTTTTGTCTCTCATTCCCAAAAAACATTTCATTTTTCTTTATGAATGTATTTAGTATTTATTTATTTACTTTCTGTCATGACCTTCTTTCCTTCTCTGGAATAATGAGTTTCAGAACACAATTGTAGCAGGAGGGACTATTCCCCTTAGTAAAAGTACATATATTACATAAAAGGTGACCAAATTAAAAAAAAGAATCAAACGCTAACCTCCCACCCTGCAAAAGGAAACTACATAAAATAACAGAGACCAAATGTATTTATAGTCTAACTTGTATGCCCTAAAAAAATCCATCCTGCCTTTTTTCCTAGAAAAAAGTGGTTATGAACTGACTACATTTGCTTCACTAGTCAACAAGGGATTGTTCCCTGATTTCTGGAGCAGACAGCTCAGATAAATTTGAAAACCTGCTCATGTCCACTACGCTTTTAACCTTGGAAGGATTATTTATCGATAGGGCATTAGGATGAAGAGAGAGGCTGGTCAGCTCTTCCAGGACTGTATTGACCCTGCACAGCAGGTGGAAGAGTTGCATAAATCAGTTAACACAGGTTTAACTAAACCACCAGGCTAGGTGTAGGTAAGACAGAGTTGACTGAGTCAGATTGTTTTGTTCAGTCCTCACAACTGTGCTTTAAATTACAAATGATGAAGCTAAGAATTATGGAAGCCTGCAACTTGCCAAGCTATCTGACTATCATCATCAGAGAAAAGACTCAGGCCCAGATCTATTTCATGCCAAGACACTAAAGGCTGTCTAGGTTGCCTCCATTTAATTATGCCAGACTTTTCTTCAAATTCCTTTCCTTTCCTCCATATTGAGTCCATTCTCCACATTGCCCATCTCATTTCCTTATTCTTATATCTAAATTTCTTATCCTCCGGACCTTGACCAGATTCTCATCTTACCATGGGACACTTCCCCAGATATTCTTAATTTCAAAGTTGTTTGACTTTTCATTCCTTTGATTATTGGTGAGATGAACACCTTAAAAGGAATCCTACCTTACTTGTTTTATGAGTAGCCTGTTCATGACCTCTACCTATTCATTTCCTTGTTGGAGAGTCCTTTTTTCTTCATTAATCTCTATAGGTTTAAAAAAAAATATCTTAAGTACATGGCTACCTTGTCATATATGTTTCAAATATTTTTAAAAATATTTTTTC